CAGGACATCTCTCTCTTGTTCGGTTTTGTCAAGCCGAGCCAGTACCTCGGTATTCTTCATGGCGAGGAGGTCGTTTTCTTTATTAGCCACCTCCAGGCTGTCAGAAAACTTACGGGCCCTGGCGTTCCCCATCTCCACCTGCTTCTGCATGGCCATCATTCCGAACAATGTCTGCATAGGTGCACATTAAAAACGGTTAAGCCAATAGTCAGGTCGGGCGAAGGCAAGACCAAATAATATGAGAGAATTCATGAGTTGGAAAATAAAAGTTACCTCCATAGCAGATTGGGGAAAGCGGCTGAACACATCCTTCTGGGAAAGGCCCTTTGCCGCCTTAAGGTCCTTCGGAGTCCACATGCTCCTGTAGTAGGCCATAGCGGTCTGGCCATCCTTCAGCATAGTCTCGTTCGGTTTCACGAACGTCCCATCCGTTCGGGTGTACCGAGGGGCCCATGGCGGTAAGGTGGGGATAGAAGGGGGGCCTGAAGCAGAAGCGGAGCCACCAGCTGCAGCAGGCCCAGAGGGAGCAGGAGCTCTGATTGCTCGATGCAAGAGAGCACCCGGCCCGGAGACCCGGGTCCTTCTAATGAGAGGCTCCTCCTCAGGATCGACTTCACTGTCAGGATGAGGCCTTTTGCCTCGTTCTTTGTCCCGACCGCCCCCCGCAGCAGCAGGAGCTATGGTAGCTTGGGGAGACGCGCTCTGGTTGGCAGCAGGGGCGCTGGCAACAGGGTTAATAGCCACTGTGCTCGGGACAGTGTCAGAGATGGTGGCTGAGGAAGAGGCTGACGCTGGAGAGGAGGTCGCCCCAGCAGCAGGAGTGGCTGGGGGAGTATTTTTCTTCCTGCCAAAAGAAGGAATCTGAAGTCTGCTCATGTTGTAGCCGAGTGATGAGAGCGCTAAGAGGTTGTCTGAAGTGAGGAGATCTGAGCAGGAAGGAATATCGTTCAGAACGTATTTCTTCAAGTAGTTACTCCTATCCCTGCAAACACTATAGCTCAAGTCATCACAAGGTATTCCTAAGGAACGGCATAAGAAAGTGCAAAAACGAGGAACGCATGTTTCGCAGGGGCAATCATGTTTATGAGATTTGAATTTCTTATAGGAGGAGACAGAACAGACACCAAAGGCGCTCGGGATTGGGTAACCCTCTGCAGCCGGCGAAGACCAAGCCCCACTAATGCCCACGATGCTATCCCTCCAACCCTTCTCAGATTTTATTGTGTCCGTACATATGGACATCTTCTCGAACGGGTAGAGGTGGTAGAAGGGTTCGTTAGTACGGATCTTACTGACCTTATAGCACAGAAGAAGGTCTATGAGGTCAAGGTCCAGATTTCTGTCACGCATCAACAAGAGCATAACAGATATGATTCTAAAGAAGTTGGGGTTGACCTGCAGAGGGGATATCCCCAATCTATTGAAGACATAACTAAAGAAAGGGTGCAGAGGGAACCTAACAACATTCAATTGAAGGTTCGTGAATAAGACTTCGCCGGGCAGGAGGCCGGCGCCGGTCATAATGTTAACGTCCTGAGGGCAGACCCTAACTTCGATGTTGTCAGGAAGTCTAAGTCTCATACGAAGAACATCCAGATCTACAACCATGGTGGAAGTGCTTGAAGAATCTAAAAGGGGGTAAATGGAAGCCTGCCGAAAGTAAAAAAGAACGAAACTAACCTCGGAGGACTGCAAGATCGCTGGAAGAATGACCCTTGAAGGATTTCACCAGAAAAAGCTTAGCACTGTTCTAGAAAGAGAGAGATTTGACTGATGATGGAGACGGTAAAAGGACGTGAAGTGGTGTTCTAGAGCATTATAAAGGCGAGGGGGCCCGAGGGCCGAAGCGTCGGGAAGGCGAGAAATTCCTCGAGCCCCGGAACATTGATTCTGGATCTGACCGTCCGTTCCCCCACGTGGTTATCTCGAGCCGTCAACATCATGATGAGACGCCATCAATAATTACCCCTTATTAAATAAGGGGCAATTATGGGGGCAGTTGAGGAGGCCCCGGACGACATGGGCCGGATCCGACTTGCAAACACTACATTCAGTCCGTACAGCTGGGTCGGCCCATATAAAGACACTGCCATATGGGCCGAACGCGAGTAAGCCCATCAAAGGTGACCAGGACTTATGGAGGAATAGGCCCAGATCCAGCAATCAGTCAATATCTTGTAAATATCTTGTAAATATCTTGAAAATATCTATAAATAGGATAAGGAATAAAGAGGAGGGGGATCTTTTTGGTTGAGGTGTAAGAATTCTAGAGAGAGAAAGAGGGGAACGAATTTCTTGCATCTTCACCATCTAATCCAAATGTATCATAATTACAGTCCCAAAACATGATTTAGAGTCTTAACATATATTGAGACATTTTACAAGAGTTACTCCGTGCTCATGATTATAATTATAAGGTTTCTAAACACAAAATTATATAGAACATAATTATATCATTACAACGCAAAATTTTGGTTGCAAAAACTAACAAAACGGTCTTGTAAACCAAACTAAGCTTGTGGTGGAACGTCGTCCGCCACTTCTTTTCTGTGTCCTAAAAAAAAAATGTTTAGGTAACGGGGTGAGCATAAAGCTCAGTAGAAGTCGCCTAAGACATTAGTTTTGGACTCCCTTGAACCATACAACACATAAAAGAATTGAAAATGGAGCCGGGGTCATGTCATGGGGTTCAAATAACATTTCCATTAAACAAGTAATTTTCCTAGTCACAAGCACAATTTTAGAATTAATGTGCGTGAAATGATATGAGATGTGATGTACTCGTCCCAAATCTGGTCTATACAACCCACACTTTTTAAAAATTTGCTAACTGATTTTATTGAGGCGAGATTGATAACTATCCTCGGTTCTAAATCCAGTAACCGTTAAAGGGCATAATATCAATTTTTTCACGCCCTACACAGGGTTGCACTCCCTTTAGGTCAAGCTAGCACCGAACTCGCGAAATCCGATTCATTTAAAAAAACTTTCCCTTTTAAATAGGACTTTCCTTTTGTAAAACTTCTTTTCCCAAATCCTTTTCAAAATCCTCTTTTTATGCCATGTCATGCAATGTAATGTTTTACATGATCTCAACCATCAAGCTCACCAATTTGGTAATAAAAACATTTACATAACCTTTCTAATCCAACAAGAATGAATAAGATATTCTATAATAAAAAAAAAAAAATCAATTATGATCATGGCATGTTTAGAAAATTTAATACAATAAGGACATCATTATCTCAAGTAAGGCATATACAAAAAACCTTCTTAAGCATGCTCAACATAAAATTATATACACAATAACATGCCCTCAATTAACCATTGACACAATCTTCATACAACAAATTAATTCAGTCCCTTTGACACAAAGTTTATATAATCATGCTTTCACACTTAAAGACTTTCATAATAACAACAATTTTCATATCAAAATTCACAATTCTAAAGATGAAATAAAAAGAAATAAGAATTGCTCAAATAAAATGCAAAACTTGATGCATTAGGGAGATCCATACCTCAATTAGAGATTATGTCAAACAAAGCTCCAAATTTAGCCCAAGAACTCTAGAATTTCGAAATCCCTAAAGTGCACCAAATGATGAATTTCGCTGAACTCTTCGATTTGCACAAACGGCACCCAAAAATTTTAAGTGGTTGAAGAGTAATCAAAGATAGAAGTTGTAAAAGAAAAAAGATTATTTATTTATTTATTTATTTATTTTTCAGCGAGAGAGAAAGCTGGTCTAATTCTGCCAAAGGTAATGCCGTTACTATTGTTATAATAGCATGTGGGTCCCACCATTTTTTTTTTTAATAATAATTTTTAATAACATAAACTTATATATATTTATATATATAAAGTAACTAATTCACCACCACACCAATTAACACAAAAACAAATAATCTATGCACAAGAATAATAATGCAAGAAATGCAATGGACTCGTGACACAACCCTCGTACACAACAGTTACGGTAACGGGTCCCACTTGAAACCTCCCGATCTGAAAAACGAAAAATGTCAAAATGACGACCATTGCATTTTCACGAGCTTTGAACTCAAGGAAATGCCCCAATCAACTCTTTGACACACCCAGCACACCACACGGTAGAACTTATCTGTGCTACTCCTACTTACTACTGAGAGCATTTGATGAAATTTTGATAAATAACTATAAATTTTTATCTTACCAAATTTGCCCCTCTACAAATCTCTTCTTAAGTGGCTAAAATGGTACACAATTTTATTTCCTTCTCAATTCATTTCATTTTAATTCCATTTTATGTCAAGCATACAAATGAAATTCCTTTTTAATTCCAATCCAATTCTAATTTCAAAGAAATTGATTCCAAACACTCAAAGGACACATGTTAATTTAGGCCTCTCTAAAGAAAGGATTGGGTTTAGCCATATATACCACTTGAATTGAACACACGGAGCAAACCCAATTCTGAACCAAGCCGAATGTGGTTCAGGTTGGTCGTCTATGTAGAAGTTTTTATAGGAGGCGTTTTGTGAGTGAAGGGTCCGGTCCGGGCCGATATAACCTGAAAATTTAAAGCCCAGGAAAAAAAACTTTCAAATTGATTGACAATGGCAGATATCATTGAGCCATTTTAAAGTTAAAAAAAAGAAAGAAAAAAGAAACAGCTATCACAAGGATAACTCTACTGCGAAAATCAAAAGCTAAACCTCAAAACAAAAGCAACTTACAATTACATTCTCAACCATATTGCCTGTAAATTATTGATTATAACGGATGTATCACGTCAATAATACAACCAACCAATAAAATATTAAAATATATTATTAAAACAAAGTGATCCTACAACCATTTAATAAATTATTAAAAAATCAACCATTTTGCTTGAATGGTGTGTTTTTGCACTTTGTAATCAATAATTTCTCGATTCCGTGAGATATTCAATATGTACACGCTCAAAGATAAGTGATGTGAACTAGTATGATATAACTTCCAAGAAAAAAGATTACCCTCAAACAAACAAAACATCACATTCAAAAAAATGAAAGCTGCCACATAATCCCATCTTTTTAAATACACAACTTACAACAGTGCCATTCAATCTTTAGAAAGAAAAAGGCATCACTACCTAATTGCCATCACTTGTTAAAGCAAAATCAATGCCAGCAGTCACTCCCTTCAGTCACATTAGGTCTAAAAAACAGGGCAAGCAAAACCATCCTAGATTTTTAGTATCTGAATGTCAACCCTCTCAAATCCATAAAATGATCAAAATGGTTATAATCCATATGCTAGACATGAATTTTATCAGCAATCTCTGTAGATAATTTCTGCTTCAGGCGAGACACATTGAAACTGTGTTAACTCTCTCCATACTCCCATTTCATTGTCATCAACCTCCTCTGAATCGGACTCAATATGGATGGTCTTTAGCAACGGGGATTTTGCTAATATAAGCTTAATAAACTCCAATTCAGGCCTGGTGCCAGAGATGAATCGCATATGCACTTCTCGAAGTTGATCCAAAGAGACATCAGAGAAGTCTTGCATTTCCAAAAATTCTAGAACAGATCCTGTATCATCAGTGCAGCAGGTCCTCGTCTAGAAAGAAGATGAAAACACCACAATTAAATACTATAATAACGTATATACGATAAGAGAACAGAACAGTTGAAACAATGACATGTTATACCTTACCTCAATTTCAATTCTTTTCAAGTTGGGAGAGCTTTTAATCAAGCAAAGCAGAAAGGAGACATTGACAATTTCTCCAAAACATATGTCATATAGTTGAAGAACTTTGAGGTGGTCTAAGGTAAACAGGAGCCTCTGAGGTACACCGGCCACGGTCAAGAACTAAACAAAAGCCAAAAACAGACCTAAGAAACTTCATTTTCTTTGCAAATGCATGAATAATTTAAAGCAATGGAGCTACCTTACCTTCACAAAACGATAGCCCAACTGTAAAGTTTCAATTACAGGTAGACAACTAAAAACATGGATCATTTCAGGTGCCTCTTTTTCATTGAGAAGTTTCAAATCGTCAGAATTATCTGAAGTAATTGAAACTACTGCAAGACGAGGGGTATTTTTGAAACGAACAGATCCGAAGATGGCACTGATGCTTAAGAATTTGAGGTTAGGAGCGTCGCGAATTTCGATGTACTCAAAATCAAAGGGGTCTTCGAACTCAAAATGTGAGTAGGAGCCGTTCAGTGTTAGTTGTTCAAGTAGTGGGCAACTAGAAACCAAACTTCCAAGTACAGATTCACGAATGTCAACTCGGTTAAATTCTAGACTTACAAGCCTACTGAATCCATTAAACGTACGAGGAGGATCAAACTCACAGTGACTGAGTTTCAAATGTCTCAGTCGTGAACATGAAAAAAATGACAGAGGCAACACATAACACTGGCACTTAGAAATACCAAAAGTAAATTCCTCGACACCATTCCTTGACAGGAAAACTATGAACAGGTCGATCTCAGAACATCGTTCTATTTGAGAAGTAGAGAGGGTGAATTTCAGTATTGGTCCATTATGAAGTAAAAGAACATGATATATAACCTTGATAAGTCTGCGTTCGGGTGACAGTTCGATTTCGTTTAAATACCTTACAAATGGCCAATCCCAATCTGAATTTTTGATCAATGTATCATCAAAGACAAGTTGTGGGAGTTTGACCCAGTTATACCTCCACTTTTTTGATAAAACACTCGTCCTCACAGCATCTCGTAGCGGCAACAACATTAATATAGTTTCTATCAAATTGCTTGGAAGGTTACTGATTCTATCTATAGGTGGACATCTGACCGTCATCATTTCAAGATCATTTTCTTTCTCTCATTCAGTGGGTAATTTTGTGACACTTATCAACAACCCTGAAAATCAAAATAAACAAAGGCAATTATATCAAGTATCAAGCCAGCAAGCAATTTATACTATAATTCCTGGAACAAGTGAATATAACAGTAAGACATGATATCTAAAAGAAAATATTTACGCAGAGATTTATTGATAACATATATTTGTTTTATTTACAAGTACAACATAGCAGCAACCTGACTCTGCAACTGTAGTACTGAAAGAAAATATATATAGAGTTATTCTTCATAATAACTAGGGTAAACTGCACTCTTAACTTTCACATATTTGCAAATACCCCCTCCTAATAATGCAACTAGTACCTAAACTATCAGACATTGCAAATCACTCCACACTATTAGATTTTTGTTATATGCATTATGAAATTACCTTGCTAACCTTAGCTAAATGACGCAAGTTTGTTTAGTTTTCATTTTGCAATCTACCCATCCTATAAATTGTTGCCTCATGTATATAATTTTTTTTAGAGAGAGAGAAGAAAAGTGCAACCTGTTCAAGACTAATCCACCCGTTAACTTTCATCTTCTTCTTCATAAGAAAACCTAGGTTATATCTCTTCCCACCACTCTTACCGGCAGCCATGAACGTTTTCTGCCTTTTCCTCCTTCTGCAGGATAACAAAGACCCAACCCTTAAATCAATTTCTTCTTTGCTACCTTTATGAAGCAAACCCAAATAGAAATCATGCTTCTACATAATGCAAAGTACCATTTGGCTCATTATTCTTCTTTTGTGCCATATTACAATTGCAATTTGCAACACAGCCCATACAAAAGTACCATCGAAAATTAAATTAAGTAGATAATTTGCAAAAACACATAAATTCGCGTAGGCAAGTAGGCACAAGTAATATCTATATCCATATAGTTACTTATTTATAAAACCAAACCAGTTACATGAACATGACATGCCACACCCCCACATATATATATAGATAAAATAATCCAAAACTGATAAATCCATATAAATGTAAACTGCTAATTGTAACATATTCTAAATTAGTGTTGAAAACATGGGGATTGCTTGCAAGTTGCATTTGTTGTGGAGAAAAAGTTAAAATAGAGAATTTGAACTTTAAGTAGATTAAAGCTTTGTTGTAGAGAAAATTTTAAAATAGAGAATTTGAACTTTTAAGTTGATTTAACTGAAAGTCGTGAAATTTGCCAAAACTCAGTTTTAAATAAACACTGAAAATAGGTTCATTCAGTGCCTCTGATCCAAGATCTCCTAGGCCTGCCAATTCGTGAGATGGCAGTGATTAGAGAATTTTCCTTGATTGTAAACCTTTGACCATGGTTGTCAAAATCGCGATCCTGGATCGTAGAATCGCACGATTCTACGATCATACCAACCCAAACCGAGTCAACTCGTATAGAAATCGTTCTCCTGTGCAGAATCTTGGTAGAATCATGTAGAATGTCATGTTCATGTTACTGACAAAGGAAGTTCAGCAGGAAGAAGGACCAAGAACTCATCACAAAGTAAGGGTTTTTGACATCTTTATTTGGAATATGATATGCTCCATCGGTTGTTTTAGAACCATCAAAGATGAGTGGTAATTAGGTCAAGGCCACGGACTTTAGGAGATATGGATCTGTCCCCTACGATATTCCTCTGGGAGAGGAAGGGGGAAATGACAAAAGAATTTGGGGAGCAACCCCTAATGGTTCATTCTCAGTAAATAGTGCCTACAAAATGGCTTTGAATCTCAAGAAAAGAAAGTCACCTCCATCTTCCGAAGCAAGCAGTAGTAATGCTCATCTGCACTCCTCAAATAGGCCTGAAGTTAGGAAAATTCATACAAAACAGAAGATTCCAGTTTTTTCTTTGGCAATGTGCCCACATCGGCTTCCAACTTTATCAAACCTGAAATCCAGAAGAGTCAATGACAACAGCACCTGCAAAAGATGTGGCAAGGAGGAGGAAACTTTTATTCATCTTCTCTTCAGATTTCCATCTTCAAAGATCCAATAGCATTCCGTTAGATAGGAACAGATTTGATAAATACTGATAACTCTCGGATAGAGTATTAGAATGGAAAGATCCATTAGATAATGAACTATTGGTTCTAAGCCATCTCTGGCGATTAATCAACAATTCCAAGTGCTTCTCTTGCGTATTCTTGATAAACCAGCGTTTATACATAGATGTAGGAAGATCTATTCCCAAGCATAAGTAGCAATAAGTGCCTCGTCGGTATCGCGCATACCTCCCACTATCCCCCTTGAAACCCCTCAAACATTGCAACATTGGACCCGAAATAATCTGAGAAAGATGGGGATCGCTAAGTGTCTTGCATGCAATGGTTCTCTTCCTCTGTCCGAACTCCTTACTGAAGGCTATGGGGTTTATAAGAGACCCTTCTTCATCACTTATTAACAATAGATTCCAAATTGGACGAAAATAAGCCCTTATTTTCTCATATTTGCCACCAACAACTTCTGTTTTGGTTGTCGCTATGGCGCCCTGCCTTCACACGGCTCTCAAACCCAATCTTTGATTTGAACCCCCCTTTTACTGTTTGAACGATCCAATCTCTTTTTAGAAAACCTTGGAAGAGCCCTTGTCAAGTTTCCACTAAACAGCAATCGGCCGTGCCGAGTGAGAGGGTATTCACGTCACCCCTAACCCTCTGTTTCAGACAGAAGATGACTCGCGTGTTAGGGAAATTGCCATAGGTTTTTCATCAAAGAATCCATAAATCAATCAAGACAGTCAGTCACCTAAGCACAGGTAAAGGAAAGCGCATCAGCCTTGACCGGTCTTCACTTCTTTGATGCCCAAAAGTCAATAAGAGGTCTCTTGAGACCATAACCTAATGGCTTAACACCTAGGATAATGGGCAAGAGTCAGTCAACTAGGTGACCTTGCCACGCCAAAGAGTCAGTGTGTCAATAGTTGCGTGGGCTGTTAGATCCAAATGGAATACCTATTTATATATATATATATATATATATATTTGATAAGAATGGAATACCTATTTACATTACAAGTTGAAACAGGGATATCAAAAGATCTAATGCTATCTACGGTCGCATGGAATTCATGCCTTGGAATTGAAATTGGAGAAAAACTAGTTCAAACTTTCAACTAATACATATTTTTTTTACAATTCCAATCCCAGGCAACCGAACATAGCTTAAGGGATTTTTTGTCATAACAAAGTGTATTATGGAGATTTCAGGACAACAAATGTCACTGGGCACACTAATATCATTCTGTCAATTTTGCAACGGTGAGCATAATGCAGGGGGTGATTTTCGACATAACAGTTTAACGAGTTTTGTACATTCAGGGGATAATTTGCGAAATCTTAAAAACTTGAGTGGGTTTTTTTTCGACAGTTTACCATAATAACTATTTGTTCAAGCAATTATAATGCTATTGTTCCGTTCTGATTTCTTCAAAATCACAAGCTGAGCCAAAAACCTTGGAACTCATGTATAAAACATAAGATCAACAATAAGTGGCCCAGAAACACAATTAAGTACTTAATTCGATCTTTGAAATTGCTCCAACTTGTTCTAAAGTGCAAAACAATATCCTAAGAAGACAGAAAACAACATCAATTCCTCAACAATAATCCATGGCAGCTTTCCTATTTAAATAGAAAATCACCCAGATCACTGAACTAAATACATTAACAAGGCATAGATGTACTGAGATTTAAAATTTCTGGTAACCCAAAAAAAAAAAAAAAATCAAATATATTAGTCAAAATTTAATTTTCTTCCTTTTTCACAGCAAAAGAACAGTGTTTGCTTTCTTATATGTCTTATAAAATTCAAAAAAACAAATTTCTTCCAAATATAAACGAATCCCAAGAACATTATAGTTGAAGAGATAAAACCCATGTGAAAGACTAACCACATCCCCAAAGTAGAAAACGCAAAACCCCTTATTTGGTAGTATAAAAAAACAAATAACCATAAGAAAGATACCAGAGATCGAAGAGACCAAGGAAAGGGATTCTTTATATTCTACTTATTCTGCAGTCGAAACAGCTCTTCGCCGGCGAGAAAGAGAGGGCAAAGGATTGAACACACTTCGTACAAAAGACAGTGAGTAACTTAAAACTTATGTTACCTAATTTTTTATCTTTTTTTAAAAATTTGTCACTTTACTTGTGTTACCATGAGTTAAAAAAGAAAAAGGGTCTATAAACGGGCCGAAACCGATATCCAGGCGGGCCCGGCCTTGCCCATCCTCTTACAGGACTCGGTTGATCTAGCCCTCCATTGGCTCAAGCTAGGCTGGGCTGGGGTCGGTCCAGCCCGTGGCCCGTGGGTCATTTTTGCACCCTTAAGTGCATGTGATGTGAGGGCTTGTTTTTCCCCTTCCATTAAAGGATGAGTAAATTAACTCAACGGCCTTTAGTTTATATGAATTAAATTAAAAACGAATAGAGAAAATGAAATAATAAAAAAGGACAACCCAAAACATCATAGTTTTTGGTTTGCTTTATAAAACTCACATTTTTCAATAGTAAGGTGCTAAAAATACCTCTTCATAGCATCTTGGAATTTGAAAAACAACCTTATTGTAATGGATATGTTAGGTTCTACTGCAATATAGCATCGGATGTACGTGTGTAAATGAAGTCGACAGTAATAGATGCACCCTTGTGTGAGCTGTGGTGACGACAGATCTAGTATAGTGGCAGTGGGGGCAATTGTCCCTACTGAGTTTTTTGTTTTTGTTTTATACTATTTAGTATCTTTTTAAAATTATATACTTAAGAAAATTTTATGTTGGCTCCTGTGAAATTACAAAACGATTCACTTTTGCCCTCCTCACATAATTTTTTGGATTCGTCATTGAGTTGTGGGTCGTTCAATATAATCAGCACTCATGCTATACTGCAAAGGTTTCGAACTCGTAATAGACGTTTTTATATACTACAATATTATTTAGGACAAAGTGCAAAAAAAAAAAAAAAAAAAAAAAAAAAAAAAAAAAACACTTGAACAGTTATCCTTTTGTAAATAATCTCTGAACTATAAAATTGCCCCTTAAACTAATGATTAATTACAATTAAGGATCTATCAATTGCAAAAGACAATTTTACACATTCTCTTAATTAGACATTGCACAATTAACCATTGAACAAAACTATTCAAGTGTAATGAATATAACTCTTTTGTAAAGGATATAAAACCATTGAAAAAAAAGTGTATAATGTGCAATATTACACGTCAAAGATATGTAATTTGGCATAGTTGTACCACCCCAATCCCAAAAGTGTTCCAATAAAGACAACTTAGGCACGGTATTTAGTTTGCCACTCTAAAATAAGATCATGCAAAAATTGGTTGGTTAAACTGTTATTATTTTATTTTTTTCAAAACTCGGCTAAAATAAGATCATGCAAAAATTGGTTGGTTAAACTGTTATTATTTTATTTTTTTCAAAACTCGGCTAAAATAAGATTTGATTTTAGAGAACTATTTATTATTATTTTTGAAAAATAATTTTTATAATTCTTAAAAAATGTTTTTAAAAAACAAAGGCAAGCAAGTCCCTCGTATAGTCGTTTTGTGTGAAGCGTCTGATAGGATCAATTCAACTTGAAAAATTTAAGTCCAGACTTTAACATGGGCTGAAAATAAAAGCTGAAAATAAAAACTTCAAATTGATCGACAATGGGAAATATTATGTACTTACTATTCAGTGTTCACAATAAGTCTGAAAAAGTATTTAAAAATATCAAATTTAGCCTCAAACAAACAAACACAACATCACAATCCAAAAGGTGAAAGCCACATAATCCCATCTTTTTAAATACACAACTTACAACAGTGCCAATGAATCTTCAGAAAGAAAAGGTCATCATTAGCTAATTTTACATCATTTCCAAAAGTCTAAACTTGTTAAACCAAAATCAATGCCAGCAGTCACTCCCTTCACTAAGATTGGGGCCGAAGAAGAAAAAAAAAAAAAAAAAAAAAACGGAAAGCAAAAGCATCCTAGATTTTTAGTAACTGAATGCCACCCCTCTCAAAGCCATAAAATGATCAATGGATACAAACCCACATGCTAAACATTTTTTTAATCTGACCCTTCGTAGTAAATTTCTGCATTAGGCGAGACACGTCGAAATTGTGTCAACTCTCTCAGTAATCCCACTCCATTGTCAGTAACCTTCTCTGGGTTGGGCCAAACGAGCATCGTCTCTAGCAATGGGGATTTTGCTAATATAAACTTAATAAATTCCAATTCAGGCCTTGTGCCAGAGATGTTACTTATCTCCACTTCCCCAAGTTAATTCAAAGAGACATTTGAGTAATCTTGCATTTCCAAAAATTCTAAATCAGTAGGTCTTGTAGCATCGTCGCTGGGAAACACCTAGAAAAAAGAAGAAAACACCTCAATAAATACTGTATAAACAATAGAACAACATTTGAAACAATGAAATGTTATAGCTCACCTCCATTGCAAAATTTTTCAAGTTGGGGGAGCTTTTAATCAAGCATAGAGCAAAGGAGACATCAGCGATCTCTCCCAAACATAAGGTATTTAGTTCAAGAATTTTGAGGTGGTCTAAGGTAAACGGAAGCCTTTCAGGTACATTGGCCACAGTCAAGAACTAAACAAAAGACAAAAGCAGACATAAGAAACATGATTTTCTTAGAGAACACATGAATAAAAGCAATGGAGCTACCTTACCTTCACAAAACGACGGCCAAATTCCAAAGTCTCAATTACAGGTAGACAACCAAAAACCTTGATCATTTCAGTTGCCTCTTTTTCATTAAGATGTTCAAAATTGTCAGAAGCATATGAATTAATTGAAACTACAGCAAGAAGAGGGGTATTTTTGAAATGAACATATCCGAAAGTGACATTTGTTTTTAAGAACTTAAGGTTAGGAGAATCAATTTCAATGTACTCAAAATGAGTAGTGCCTATCAGTGTCAGTCGTTCAAGTAGTGGGCAACTAGAAACCAAACTTCCAATAGACTCACCAATGTTTACTTGGTTCAATTCTAGACTTACGAGCCTACTAAATCCACTAAACGTAAGAGTAGTAACAAATTCACAATTACTGAGATTCAAATGTTTCAGCTGTGAGCATGAAAAGAATGATGAAGGCAATGTATAAGGCGGGTTCTTAGAAATATAAAAAGTACATTCCTCAATGCCATTCCTTGACAGTAAAAGTATGAACTGGTCGATCTCAGAAGAGCTTTTTAATTGAGAAAAAGAGAGGGTGAACTTCAGTATTGGTCCATCATGAAGCAGTAGAACTTGATTTATAGCCGTGAGAAGTTTGCGTTGGAGGGACTGTAGGTTTTCCTTTGGATCTTGGATGATCAATGTCTTATCAAAGACAAGTTGTGTGATTTTGGCCCAATTATACCTCCATTTCTTTGACAAAATACTTGTCCTCACAGCATCTCGCAATGGCAACAACATTAATATAGTTTCTATTAAATTCCTTGGAAGCTTACTGATTCTATCCGTAGGCGGACACTTTCTTATTTTTTCTTGAAAGGTATCCATAGGTGGACACTATTTCTTGAAAAAAAAAATAGGCAATTATATCAAAGTATGAAACCCACCTGACAGCAAGCAGTTTATATTATAATTCCTGGCACAAATGAATGAAAACAGTAAGCTAGTCATGATATATATCTTAAAGAAGAAAGTATTAACAAATAGACTTGGTTACAAGTAGAACACACCATCAACTAGATTACCGACAGATTTATTCATAAGTTAAATTTCTTCCACATTTAAGATGACCTAAAAAAGGTATGTAAGATACCAGAGATCGAAGAGAGCAAGGAAAGAGATCCTTTGTCTTCTTCTTCTTCTTCTTTCCGTGCTACTTATATATATATATATATATATATATATATATATATAAAATAATCCAAAACTGATAAACCCATATAAATGTAAACTGCTAGTTGTAACATATTCTAAATTAGTGTTGAAAACATGGGGCTTGCTTGCAGGTTGCATTTGTTGTGGAGAAAAAGTTAAAATAGAGAATTTGAACTTTAAGTAGATTAAAGCTTTGTTGTAGAGAAAATTTTAAAATAGAGAATTTGAACTTTTACGTAGATTAAACTGAAATCCGTGAAATTTGCCAAAAGTCAGTTTTAAATAAACACTGAAAATAGGTTTATTCAGTGCATCTGATTCAAGATCTCCTTGGCCTGCCAATTCGTGAGATGGCAGTGATTAGAGAATTTTCTCTGATTGTAAACCCTTGACTGAATTCTTTCAACAAGATAAGGAAGGTTGGTCTATGATCTAATGTTTTGTTGACTAAAGGAATCCCCCGCACCTATACTGACAAAGGAAGTTCAACAGGAAGAAGGACTAAGAACTCATCACAAAGTAAGAGTTTTTGACATCTTTATTTGGTATATGCTATGCTCCATCAGTTGTTTTAGAACCATCAAAGATGAGTGGTAACTAACTCAAGGCGATGGACCTTAGGAGATATGGATTTGTCCCCTAAGATATTCCTCTGGGAGAGGAAGGGGGAAATGGCAAAAGAATTTGGGGAGCAACCCCTAATGGTTCATTCTCAGTAAATAGTGCCTACAAAATAGCTTTGAATATCAAGAAAAGAAAGTCACCTCCATCTTCTGAAGCAAGCAGTAGTAATGCTCATCTGCACTCCCCAAATTGGCCTGAAGTTTGGAAAATTCATACGAAATGGAAGATTTCAGTTTTTTCTTTGGCATTGCGCTCACAATCGGCTTCCAACTTTATCAAACCTGAAATTCAGAAGAGTAATTGACAACAGCACCTGCAAAAGATGTGGCAAGGAGGAGGAAACTTTTATTCATCTTCTCTTCAGATGTCCATCTTCAAAGATCCAATAGCGTTCCGTTAGATAGGAACAGATTTGATAAATACTGATAACTCTTGGATAGAGTATTTTTTTTTTTTGATATATAACTCTTGGATAGAGTATTAGAATGGAAAGATCCATTAGATAATGAACTATTGGTTCTAAGCCATTTCTGGCGATTAATCAACAATTTGAAGTGCTTTTCTTGGGTATACTTGATAAACCAGAGTTTATATAAAGATGTAGGAGGATCTGTTCAAAGATCCAACAGCATTCCATTAGATAGGAACAGATTTGATAAATATTGATAACTCTTGGATAGAGTATTAGAATGGAAAGATCCATTAGATAATGAACTATTTGTTCTAAGCCATTTCTGGCGATTAATCAACAATTCGAAGTGCTTTTCTTGGGTACATAGTTGTTAAAGGCTCAAGGCGCACAAAAGCGCAAATGCCTCCTGGAGCCTGAGGCGCAAGGCGCAAGGCGAGGCGCGCGCCCGACTGAACCAAGGCGCATGTTGAAAAAAAAAAAACACAAAACCCACCCAATAAAGTATTATAGATGCAATAGTATATATAAAGATGCAAAAGTCAACTAAATAAATTACTTATGTTAAATATTCAATATAAAGATGCCAAAACCTTGATATCCATGTTTGCTAGATGTAAGTCTATGAACCAATATTAAAATAAAATGTATATATATTAGTTAATTTCATTACCCCTGTCCATATATATTCTTGTAAGTTTGTAACTCTGCTTTTCCTGTGGTTTTGTATTTGCACAGACCAGAAAAAACCAAATTTGGTAAGTGTAGACTGATGCACCTTCAACCTTGATCTTATATTGGTGACAAGGTTAATTTAATGATGCAATGAAGACCTGCAGTTGTGTGTGTGAGAGACTGTGCAATTGGGATTACAAGGAATGGGTGATGTGATGATCCAAGTCTGTTCAACTAAAGAAATTTCATGCACAAAGCAGAAACGCATTGATTGTTCTATATAAAGTATGAAGTAAAGAGATTCGAATTATTTTTTTTTGACAAATTTAGGTGAGTAAGCCAACTGCCAACAAATCATTATCTCACTAATTATCATTATTCACTAATTATCGGCATATTAGAAAGATGAGGCAAAATAAATTGTGACACAATTAAGTTGAATCAACGAACTAGATTACTAGAATCCATTAAATCAACAAATTAAAAATATCAGTTACACTCATATATCATTGGGAATATATCCTATTAAATCCACAAAATTAAAAATAGGAAAGTTAAATTAGAGAGAGCCAAGAGAAGAAGAATAGAGGAAAAATAAAAAATAAAAAATAAAAAAATAAAAGAAGAGGAGACTAGAAAGAGCCAAGAGAGAAGAATAGAGAAAATAAATAAATAAAAACGAAGAGCCTAGACTCGGCTCAAAGAAAAAAAAGAAAAAGAAAAATGAGCCTAGACTCGGAGACCAGGATTGAACCGAAACTTGGAAACCAAGGTTCGAACCCAATCCAAACCAGTTTAGGTTGAACCCAAACCAGTGGCTGAACCGAACAAAGAAGAATTAGAAGAAGAAATTCAGAAGAAGAGAAGAAGATTTCTGAATTGGTGTACATTGAAATGAACCCAATGATGGGTATTTATAGGCTTGTTGGTGCCTATTCTGAATGGGTGCACCCATAGTCCGAATGGGTGCAACCATTGTTGACCAATCAAAATTAAAAATCTGTTGGTGGTTTTTAATTTGTAAAGGGTGCAACTCTTGGTTCAAAATTAAAACTGAATCCTTTTAATTCTGATCCAGCCCAGCCCTTTAATTTCGTCCAGTCCAGCAAGCAAATAATCCAACTCGGCCATTAATTCAGCCCAGTAAACAGGCCCATTTTGATAAGTCCAGCAACAAAATAAAATACAACCACACAGGCCCATCCCAACTTTGGGTAAAAAGTTAAACCCATTTCACAATCAAGCCCCGCCTCGCCCTAGCCCGGACCGAGTCGGGTCGGGCGGGCGGCGCGCGCGTGTGGTAGTTGGTTCGGATCCAGGCTAGCCTAGGTCCTCCCCCTCTTAAAAACTTGGGTGCCCTTGGGCCTAAACCCAAATCCCATACTAGACATATATATACTCAAGGTTGCTTTGCTACTTTTTCGATGTGGGACAAGCATTTCCCACTTTATTCACACCCATTAAGGCTTTATAAATCACTTACTTTGGAGCCAATTTCTCATTCACCCGGAAACGGATTTGAGAAAATAAATATACCACGTTCATCTCCTCGCAGAGAGGAACGCGCTTGTCAATAGATTCGCAAGAAATTCTTAGCGGAATCTTTTTAAAAATCCTTCCAAAGTTTGCATTTTCTAATGCCGTTTCCAACAATCCCCCACATGAATGAAAATTTGCGCAGATTACAAAAGGAGAAGATACAGACACTATAGAGAGTACTATTGGAAAGTTACTGCATCGGGATAGGTAGCTTTTGGCCTTGAACTTTCCCTAGTGTATTACTATCGGATTTACTGGCTAACCAGTGAACATGATGTCTTGAACTGTTCAGCCGTTGATGTAAACCAAGACAATAGCAAACACACAATTCCTTCCCACACAAAATCGGTTCTCACGGTTGTGTTCATATGGCCCTGAACAACGCCTGGTATTTCATGAGCGCTCCAGAAAGCTTAGCCTTAGAAGTTCTCATAGAAGCGGCCCCACTTCACACTCATATAGGTGACTTCTTATTAAGAGTATCCTACCATACCCCACTTGAATTTTCAAGGTATAAGAGTCATTAAAAGCATAACTTATCCTACTCATCGCTGTAGGTAACACTGTCTCATCATAGAAATGGGTAGAAGATTGAATCTTCCCAGTGCTTCTGGTGAGCCATTCAGAATTTCTGTTGTCCCTTTGAACCTAGATCTTGGGATCTCCAGTAAACTAGGTTGGGTTTCCATTAAGATGACTCGTTAGCTTTCGGCTTTAATCCCATTCCCCTCGATGAACTATACACTTGCTCTCTTGTCAAACCTTTTGTAAACGGATCCGCTAAATTATCTTTTGACCTGATATAATCTATTGAGATTATCCCACTTGAGAGCAATTGTCTAACGGTATTATGTCGTCGACGTATATGTCGAGACTTACCATTGTACATATTACTTTGTGCCCTTCCAATTGCTGATTGACTATCACAATGTATACATATAGCGGGCACCGGTTTAGGCCAATTTGGAATATCTTCTAAGAAATTACGAAGCCACTTAGCTTCTTCACCTGCTTTATCCAAAGCAATAAATTCAGATTCCATAGTGGATCTGGCAATACAAGTTTGTTTTGAAGATTTCCAAGATATGGCACCTCCTCCAATAGTAAAGACATAGCCACTTGTGGATTTAGAATCCTTTGTATCTGATATCTAATTAGCATCACTGTATCCTTGTACTACTGGATATCTAGAATAATGTAATTCATAACTTATAGTATATTTTAAATACCTTAGAACCCTAATTATTGCAGTCCAATGGTTCTTTCCTGGATTACTAGTATATCTACTCAATTTATTAACTGAGTATGCTATGTCTGGTCGTGTGCAATTCGTCAAATACATTAAGCTTCCTATAATGCGAGAATACTCAAGTTGTGATATGCTAGGACCAGTATTTTTCGATAAATGAAGATTTACATCAACAGGAGTCTTTACAAGACTACTATCCTTTTTATTAAACTTTTCTAATATTTTCTCAATATAGTGAGATTGAGATAATAGTAGACCATCCGATATTCTAGAAATCTTAATTCTTAGTACGACATCAGCTATGCCTAAATCTTTCATATCAAAATTTTTGGTCAACATCTTTTTAGTAGTTTTGATTATAACATCATTACTACCCATTATTAGCATATCATCCACATATAGGCACACAATGACATATCCATTTTGAGTGTTTTTCACATACACACATTTATCACACTCATTAATTTTAAAACCATTTGACAACATTATTTTGTCAAATTTTTCATGCCATTATTTAGGTGCTTGTTTTAATCCATATAAGGATTTTACAAGTTTGCACACCTTCTTTTCTTTTCCTGGAACTATAAACCCTTCAGGTTGTTCCATATAGATCTCCTCCTCTAATTCACCATTTAAGAAGGCAGTCTTAACATCCATTTGATGTATTTCTAAGTTTTGCAGTGCTGCAATAGCTAGTAATAATCTAATGGATGTTATTCTTGTGACTGGTGAATATGTATCAAAATAATCCAAGCCTTCTTTTTGCCTATATCCCTTAGCAACAAGTCAGGCTTTATATTTTTCAATTGAACCATCAGGCTTCATCTTCCTCTTGAAAATCCACTTATACCCTAAAGGTTTAGTACCAGAAGGAAGATCCACCAGCTCCCAAGTATGATTTTGCATGATTGATTCAATTTCACTATTTATGGCTTCTTTCCATAAATTAGCTTCAGGAGAAGACATAGCTTCCTTGTAGCTTTGTGGCTCATTCTCCAATATATATGTCAGAAAGTCAGGACCGAATGACTTAGACGTTCTAGCTCTTTTGCTACGTCTAGGTTTTTCCTCATTTTCATCATCTATAGACTCTTGGTCTATATTCTCTTGTATATTGCTATTAGCAGTATCATAATTTCTTTTAAGAGGATTTTTGCATGGAAATATATCCTCAAAGAAATAAGCATTCCTTGACTCAATAATTGTATTGACATGGATATCAGGAATGTCTGATTTATGCACAAGAAAACGATATGCACTACTATTCTGTGCATAGCCTATGAAAATACCATCAAAGGTTTTTGGTCCTATCTTAACTTTCTTAGGAGTAGGAACCGCAACCTTAGCTAAACACCCCCACACTTTTAAGAATTTATAGGAAGGTTTTTGACCTTTCCATAATTCATAAGGTGTCACATTTGATTTCTTTTGAGGTACCTTATTGAGAACATAATTAGCAGAGAGCAAAGCTTCCCCCCACAAATTCTGGGTTAACCCAGAACTTATCAACATAGCATTCATCATTTCTTTTAAGGTACGATTTTTGCGTTCAGCAACACCGTTCTGTTGAGGTGAATAAGGAGCGGTAGTTTGGTGAATAATACCATGTTCTGAGCAAATGTCAGCGAATAGTACTTCGTATTCACCACCTCTATCACTTCTAAACATCTTTATCTTTTTTCCAAGTTGATTCTCAACCTCATTCTTGTAATGTTTAAACATTTCCAAGGCTTCATCTTTACTTCTTAACAAGTATACATAACAATATCTTGTGCAGTCATCAATAAAAGTAACGAAATACTTTTTCCCACCTCTAGTTGGCACAGATTTAAAGTCACAGATATCACTGTGAATTAATGCTAGAGGTTCAGTACTTCGCTCTATGGAGTGAAATGAGGTTCTAGTCAATTTTGCTTCTACACATGTTTGGCATTTTTGATTTAAATCAATATTAAATTTAGGTGTAGATTCCATGTTAATTAATCTACGAATAGTATCATAATTAACATGTCCTAACCTACCATGCCATACATCAGATGAGTCAATAATATAAGCAGAAGAAGCACTAGCTTTATTATTATCATTAATAGCTTTGGGTACAACAGTCATTACATTGAACTTAAATAGTCCATTACTTAGATACCCTTTGCCCACATACACCCCATTCTTAGTCAGCATAAACTTATCAGATACAAAGACCAGCTTGAACCCATTCTTGCTTAGTAGTGACCCAGAGACCAAGTTCTTCCTGATGTCTGGTACATGCAGCACATTATTAAGAGTGAGCTCTTTCCCTGAGGTCATTAGTAGCTTGATCTTTCCTTGTCCTTCAACCTTTGCAGTAGAAGAATTCCCCATGTAGAGTTATTCTTCATTATTTATAGTTTCATAGGTAGTGAACATCCTCTTTTCAGAGCAAACATGACGAGTAGCTCCTGTGTCCACCCACCATTCTCTGTTTTTGCTTACCAGGTTGATTTCAGAAACCACAGCTGAAAGATTTAACTCTGATACATCAGCTGTCAACTTATCTTCTTCAGCTATGTGCACCTCAGTGGTCTTCTTCTTGGGGTTATGATGTGTTTTGCGGCTACGACAATCTTTAGCTCGGTGTCCTAGCTTGCCGCATATGAAACACTGCCCAGTGAACTTCTTGTAGTTTCATTGGCTAGGACCTTCTCCAGAGTGTTTCCTCTTCTAATTTTTCTGTCCTGCTTCCACTACATTTGCCTTTGACACCATTGAAGAATTTTCGGCTCTCTTTTCAGATGTACGGTTATCTTCTTCAATTCTCAGCCTGACAACTAAGTCTTCGAGCCCCATTTCCTTGCGCTTATGCTTCAAGTAATTTTTGAAATCTTTCCAAGTAGGTGGCAGCTTTTCAATGATTGAAGCTACTTGAAAGGATTCACTCAATGTCATCTTCTCAGCATGTATCTCATGTAGGATCAGCTGGAGCTCCTGCACTTGGCTCACGACTGTCTTGGGTTCTATCATTTTGAAGTCCAGAAATCGTCCAACCACGAATTTCTTCAAGCCAACATCCTTTGTTTTATACTTTTTGTCTAACGACTCCCAAAGATCTTTAGCAGTATTTATTGGACTGTACACATTATATAAGGTGTTGTCCAATCCATTGAGGATGTAGTTCTTGCATAGGAAGTCTCCATGCTTCCATGTATCAACAGCTCCAAGCTTGGTAATGTCTGTATCACCCTCATCTAACACTGGAGCAGTCTCAGTCAGATACTTGCTTAGATTCAGAGTTGTAAGGTAGAACATCATTTTCTGTTGCCACCTTTTAAACTCCGTCCCGTTGAATTTTTCGGGCTTCTCCCCATGACTGACGGGAACATTAGGCACGGTAATACTCGTACTTGCCATTTGTCTGTTATATATTGATATATAGACCACGAGTCAAATTATAATAATTATAACAACAATAATAATTAAATAATTATTACTATAGTATAAAGTTATCTGTCTTAAGATTGTTAGAAATAAAGTATCATATACTATAGTATAATTAATTTAAATATTATTTGTAAATATATTATTTATTATAATAATCTATATATATATTTATATAGTTTAATATCAAGAAAATAAAACTATAAAAGAACCTGATAAAGTCGAGGTTAGAATTTAATTCTATAGCCTTAAGACAGATACGCCCCGCTACGGTGCTAACGGACTCTTCGGCGTCTATCTCCCAGGATACAACGACTTTTCTTCCTTTGGTAGTAGCACTTCAAACCAATGGAATAGGCGAACCGGCTCGGTGTAGTACTCTCTGTTGAACTCAGACTCGGAGACCAGGATTGAACCTTAACTCGGAGACCAGGATTGAACCGAAACTTGGAAACCAAGGTTCGAACCCAATCCAAACCAGTTTAGGTTGAACCTAAACCAGTGGCTGAACCGAACAAAGAAGAATTAGAAGAAGAAATTCAGAAGAAGAGAAGAAGATTTCTGAATTGGTGTACATTGAAATGAACCCAATGATGGGTATTTATAGGCTTGTTGGTGCCTATTCTGAATGGGTGCACCCATAGTCCGAATGGGTGCAACCATTGTTGACCAATCAAAATTAAAAATCTGTTGGTGGTTTTTAATTTGTAAAGGGTGCAACTCTTGGTTCAAAATTAAAACTGAATCCTTTTAATTCTGATCCAGCCCAGCCCTTTAATTTCGTCCAGTCTAGCAAGCAAATAATCCAACTCGGCCATTAATTTAGCCCAGTAAATAGGTCCATTTTGATAAGTCCAGCAACAAAATAAAATACAACCACACAGGCCCATCCCAACTTTGGGTAAAAAGGACCGGACCGGGTCGGTCGGGCGGTAGTTGGTTCGGATCCAGGCTAGCCTAGGTCCTCCCCCTCTTAAAAACTTGGGTGCCCTTGGGCCCAAACCCAAATCCCATACTAGACATATATGTACTCAAGGTTGCTTTGCTACTTTTTCAATGTGGGACAAGCATTTCCCACTTTATTCACACCCATTAAGGCTTTATAAATCACTTACTTTGGAGCCAATTTCTCATTCACCCGGAAACGGATTTGAGAAAATAAATATACCACGTTCATCTTATCGCAGAGAGGAACGCGCTCGTCAATAGATTCGCAAGAAATTCTTAGCGGAATCTTTTTAAAAATCCTTCCAAAGTTTGCATTTTCTAATGCCGTTTCCAACAATTTAAACTAAATTTTTCTCAAAGGTGCTCTAATGTGAAAAAAAGAAAAAAAAAAGGCAGCTAAACCTTAAAACAAAAGCGCCTCGCAAGTGTTAAAAAGGAGAAAAAGCTGTTACATGAAAAAAAAACAAAACCGTCAAACAAACATAACATCACATTCAAAATGGTGAAAGCCACACAAACCCATCTTTTAAAAGAGCATCATTGTATTCTCTAGTTAAAAAAAATCAACCATCTATTTATAAACAGTCAAATTAGGCCTCCTGAAAATAATAATAATAACAATAATAAAAAACCCACCAATATGATTGAATGTGATCCTTCTCGAAGCCTTAAAATGATCAAAATGGATAAAACCCATATGCTAAACACGTTTTTGTTCTTCTTCTTTGTAGAAAATTTGTGCCTCAGGCGACATACGTCGAAATTGTGTCACCTCACCCAGTATCCCCACTCCATTGTCAGCAACCATAGTTGAGTTGGATTCAATACGCCTCGTCTCTAGCAATGGGGATTTTGCTAATATAAGCTTAATAAACTCCAATTCAGGCCTTGTGCCAGAGACAAATTGCATCACCACTTCCCGAAGTTGATTGAAAGCGACATCTGAATGGTCTTGCATTTCCAAAAGTTCTAGAACGGGAGGTGTAGCATCATTTTCTTTGGAAAACAGCTAGAAAGAAAGATGAAAACAGCTCAATTAAATAATATATAGACAATGTAAGAACATTTGAAACAATGAACTGCTATAGCTCACCTGAATTTCAAAATATTCAAAGTTGGGGGAGCTTTTAATCAAGCATAGAGCAAAGGCGAGCTCGGCAATTTCTCCAAAATACAGCTCAAATAGTTCAAGATTTTTAAGGTGGTCTAAGGTAAACGGAAGCCTCTCAGGTACACCATCCACGGTCAAAAACTAAACAAAAGCCAAAAACAGACCTAAGAAACATCATTTTCTTTGCAGACGAATGAATAATTAAAAGCAATGTAGCTACCTTACCGCCACAAAACGATAGCCCAACTGCAAGGTGTCAATTACAGGTAGACAACCAAAAACCTGGGCCATTTCAGGTGCCTCTTTTTCATTGAGATATTGCAAATGGTCAGAACAATCCGATTCAATAAAAAGTTCTTTTAGAAGAGGGGTATTTTTCAAATGAACAGATCCGAACCTGGCACTTATGTTTAAGTACTTGAGGTTAGAAGCGTCAATTTCAATGCACTCGAAATGAGTGGAGCCTGCCAGTGTTACTTTTTCAAGTAGCGGGCAACTAGAAACCAAACTTCCAACATATCTACCAATGCTGACTTGGTCAAATTCTAGACTGACGAGACTACTAAATCCATTAAATGTAAGAGGAGGAATGAATTCACAATTAAAAAAAATTTAGTACTACTAGCCACACCAGAATATATTAGCCCCCAAATTATATTTCTGGTCCGCTATTGATAGCAACCATGAACGGTTTCTGCCTTTCCCTTCACTTACTCAACTTCTTCTTTGCTTCCTTTATGAACCAAATAGGAATCTGCTTCTAAAGATTACGAAGTACCATTTGGCTCTTTGTTATTTTTTTACTCAAGTTTCTTCTTTGCTACCATTTGCAGAGCACTTGCAAAGCATAATTGTGCCATATTACAATCACAATTTGCAACACAGCCCATAAAAAAGTATCATTCTTTTGCATCAACACATACATTTGCATAGGCAAAAATACACATGTAATATCTATATCCATATATTTATATAATCAAACCAATTACATGACACACCACGCATTCATCAATATGGATAAAAAAGGATTTTTGTCATAACAAAGGGTATTTATAAATATTTCAGTACAACAAATATCTCCGTCAATTCTGTAATGGTCGTCAGCAAACGGCAAGAGGTGGTTTAATGCGAATTGTACAAAAATGAAAGTTCAAGTAGCAATTTACGAAATCGTAAAAGTTGAGGTAACAATTTGTTCAAGGATTTACCACGACATTGTTCCATTCTGTTTTCTTGAAATTCACAAACTAAAGATTAACAATCAGTGGCTAAGAAACACAATCAAGAACTGAATTGAATGTTTGAACTTGCTCCAAATTGTTCCGCAAACCAATATCCCTCCTTTTTGTAGGAAAAAAGAAGACTAAGAAGACAATCACATAGACCACTGGACTTAATACATTAATCAGACATGGTTGTACTGAGATTTTAAAGTTAATGAAAAAGAACAAAGTGTCTGTTTTCTTTCTCTGTCTCATAAAAGTCAATAAAACAAATTTCTTCCAAATATAAACGAAACCCAACAACACTATAGTTGAAGAGATGAAACCCATGTGAAAGACACAGAGAATGCATAAGCTGCTGACTTAAAGATACGTAAACCCTAATTTCGTAGTATAGAAAAGAAATAAATATAAAATACCAGAGATTGAAGCGACCAGGGAAAGAGATTCTTTATCTCTTCTTCTTCTTTTACAGTCAAAACAACTCTTGACCGGCGACAAAGAGAAGGGCAAAGGATTGGAAGTTGTAACACAGTCTGACGGAATTTTTTTTTAAGACCCAAAGACTTCGTGGTGCACGGCCAATGGAAAGAGTCTCATTTATATTTACCGAAATAACAAAAGAGTCTCATTTATAACAGGAATGCAAATTTTATCATCCGGAGTAATGTCTCCTATTCGGACAATGATCTTCTTCAAGAAAGGACAATGATCCTCTTCAAGAAAGGAGAGGTCATGCATAATTACTAATTATGATGTAGCATATTTACTAGCGGAAGAATTCAATCCGACCCATGGTTACTCAGAATAAAATCGAAATAAAATAAAATTAAGAAAAAAAAAACTTTTAAAATATAGAAAGTTTCTAAAAACACAAATTTCTTTGCAGAATATTAGGTTCTTTCGTTGCATCATTTTAATAGGATGTAATATTATTAAGTCTCCCAAGTTTAAATCACCCAATTTATTATTTATTTTTTTTATTTATAAAAAACCTACTTGTTTCATATCAAGTTAATATATTTTTCTTTTTATAAAGTAGGTTTTTAAGATTTGGGATGACTCTAGGAAGATGAACAATCTGAAGTAGAACTGTAATGGGTTTATCAGAACTTGTAGGATTTGGCGTGAGATGAGGTGTTAGTTTGCCTAAACTCGCCCAAGTCCCACTCTTAATGATAGACATGTCTATGATTTAGCTTGTAATTTTTTAACGCTCTAAATAAATAATAGGGTCTAAATAAATAATAGGGTCACCAGCGAAAAACACCCATATATTATACATATAGAGTGTATAACCTCCTATGCTTTTTGAAAAGTTCTTAATATTTAATTTTTGAACAAACAATGGTCTGAATGGTGAAAAGATTAAGTGTCCCTCTTTTTTTTTTTTTCCTTTTTTTTTTTTTTTTTTCTTTTTTTCCTCCTTATAGATAAGGGCATTATTGGAAGATAAAAGAGTATTTAAAAAAAAATTATATGTTAAAAATGTCATGTAAGTTTGTAACCAAATTATGACCTCAAACACTTCTTTGATAATTTTTTCAAACTTACTTATATATCCAAAAAAAACTTTAGGGGTAATATTTGCCCAAAATTTAAAGTGTCCTTTGGTTTTTTTTTTTAAGTGTTCTTTTTTTTTTTTTTTTTTTTTTTTTGTTTTGTTTTATTACAAAGCTTAAACTACTTGAGTAGATAAGATTCAGATCTCATCTAACCGGTTAGAAGTTGTTGTCTAACGGTTACTAAAATGCAAATGATTGAGGACATTATTTTGGCTTAGTTCAACTAATCGGTTACAAGCTTCTTCCTAACCGGTTACATCATTCAATGTTGAAAGGAGTCCTTAATGCATCTACTCGGTTAGAAGGTTCTTCCTAACCGGTTACAACAGAGGCATTTCGAAGTGACACCTTTCTGTCTCAGTGCAGCTACTCGGTTACAAAGATATTCCTAACCGGTTACATGGTCATCAGAAATTGTTGATAGTTTTTCAGACAGTTCAACTGGACAGTTTTTGTAAAGGACTTTTACATACACCTTATTTTCAAGTAAATGTCTTTACAGTATTTATATGTCCATTTACTTTAAGTTTACAATGTAAATAAGGAAGTACACCCCATTTGGATTCAATAAAATATATAAGAAAATTGAAATCCAATTAAATCAAAATGTAGAAATTCAGTTTTAGTACAAATTTGGATTTTTGACAGTTTTGATAAAAATGAATTCTCATGTAGACCAATGTAGAATGAATGAAAAAATCCTATAAAATCAGTTTAGGCTATTTGATATATAAAGAGTTATTATCGGGAAAAATTATTTTGAAATAATCATTATTTCAAAAATCTATTTTTCACACTTAGCCATTTTTCATACTTTACCAAAAAGACAGTTTTTTCATCAGGTAGATATTCGGTCCTAAAGTCAGTTACCAAGTCATTGTAATGAAGGCTTTATAGATGAGTAAATATGTTCTAATCCTTAGCATTTACTTTCTAGAGACCAAAGTGAATCATGTAATTGATGTGCATGGTCTTAACATTTCTAGCACAAGTGATGAGTTCTTTCAAAGCTTAAGCAAGCTTGAACTAACTCATTCTTTAGCAATGACTTCATGTGTCTATTATATATGTAAATAAAGTGTATAGTCTATTGCTAATGGTCATAGGAACTTATGAATGATGTAATGACATGCATGGTCCTATAGAGATGAGCTTAAAAAAGATTCATAAATACTTTGACATTTAATCACAAACACTCACCATTCTATCTACCCCTTTCTTCAAGCTTTGTCCATGATCTTTAGGCTTTGAGGTATCCTTGTTTTCATCATTTCTTTGAGTTGATTTCTTCCTCGTTGTAGTCCAAACTATCTTTGGATCGACTTTGCATTTGGCTTCTTGCAACTTCAAGTCTTGTTTGTATTCATTTCTTTCCTTGATGTGATCTTGAGGAATGGAATACTTGGAATGATCTTTATAGCTTCATTGAGGTCATTCTTTGAATATGAATAATCTATATAATACTCAATGTAAACATTAGTCCTTAAACACCATTAATGGTTTGTTATCATCAAAACATCTAGATTGTTAATGGATGAAACCTTAAGGTCAATATTATGTTTGGTATTGTTTTGTTGAAATTTATTGTTTTAGGTTTTAATCTTGCTTTTCAAAAGTTATACAGACTGGAAATGCATTATGGTAGTTAGTTTGGTAGTACAGAATTAAGTCCATATTTTTGTGGGTCTGTTGAGATATATGAGGGTATAGACAGTGATCTCATGTTAATGATAGAACTTACATACATGATAGGTTTGCTTTGTTGTCCTACTACAACAAGTAAACTATCTACAGGTCTTACATTGATGGGAGTTTACAAGAGTTAAAAACTGACAGGGATGTCATTGACATGTTCGAACACAACCAAAGGTTTTCCCTAATTAAAATATATATGGTGTCAATTACTGAAGAAGGAAATGCAGAAGGTGAGAATAATGGAGATAGATTAGCAGAGGTTCCTGCAATAGCAACTGAAGATGATAGTCATTTTGATATGCCTGAAATTGAAGATGAAGATGACAATGCTTTTTATATGCCTGAAAGTGAAAATGCAGATGACAATGATTTTGATCTGCCTGAAAGTGAAGATGACAGTGATGTTGATAGAAACGGAAATGAAATTGAGGATGAGGATCTGAATGGTAATGATATTGAAGATGTGAATGATGAATATTACAATGACAATGTTTTGTTAGACTTTTATGAAGAAACTTTTATGATAGATGAGGAGGTTGATGAAGTAAGAAATAACGAAGATGCAACTGAGGTGAATGAGGTTACAAATGATGAAGAACCTGAGATTGAATCTGATAAGGATGATGACAGTTATCAAGCTTCTGAATATGCACTAAGTGAGGAGTTGATGAGTTTGGTATACTCAAGTGGTGAAGAATGTGAGGATGATGCCACAAGTGGCCTATCTTATCCAAATTTCAGTGTTCATATAGACCTGGGGAAAAAAAAACTTGAAATAGGCATGAAGTTTGGTTCTCCAGCAGAATTTAGAGAAGCAGTAAGGGATACAGCTATAAAAGGCAAGTTTGACCTATCATTTGTGAAGAATGATGGAGATAGAGTCATAGTGGTATGCAAGGCTAAATTTGGGTGGATGATTCATGCCTCTGAAAATGGTGAAGATAAATCATTCCAAATAAAGACATTTAATAATACTCCCAATTGTACTAGTGTAAGGCACAACAGTCAACTAATATATAGTTATTTACAAAACATTATACTGAAAAGATTATGGCTAATCCAAATTACTCATTGAAAGGTTTTGTGCAGACAGTTGAAAGTGAATTTAATGTTGAAGTGACAAAAAAAAAGGTGGCTAGAGCAAAGAAGTTGGCTTTACTAATGATTAAAGGTGATTATTCAAAGCAATTTGCAAGAGCTAGGGACTACTGTGCCTTAATCCTAGAAACAAATCCTAGGAGTGTTGTTAATGTAAGAACAATACCCTATAGTGATGATGGTACTTCATTCTATATGTTGTTTTATTCCCTAGAGGCTATGTGGAAAAGATTCTTAGAGGGTTGTAGACCATTTATTGGTCTAGATGGATGTTTCTTGAAAGGACCTTATGGGGGACACTTATTGTGTACTGTTGGTAGGGATGGCAACAATGGCTTTTATCTAATTGAAATTGGTTGTGTTGAGGCAGAATGCAAGGACTCTTGGGGATGGTTCTTAGATGAATTGATGGCTTTAGTTGGCAATTATCAGAAGTACACATTTATCTTAGATCGACAGAAGGTATACATGTTTATCTTTCGATGTATATGGTCATTTATTATCTTACTTTAATATTTTACATATTTTGTAATTTTTTGTTCTCTGATTTTTAGGGTCTACTTGAGGTATTTGAGCATAAATATCCTGGAGCAGAATTAGGTTCTGTATTAAACACATGTATGACAATTTCAGGCAGAAATACAAAAAGCAGAATACTAAGGAACATATTCTGGAATGCATCCACAACATACACAGAATCTGATTTTGTGCTACATATGCAAGAGATGAAGACAGTTAACAAGGATGCACATGACTGGTTAATGAAGATTCCCTTAAAGGTTTGGGCAAGGTCAGCATACACTACAAAGAGTAGGAATATCTTATATGTAACTAACATGTGTGAGTCATTCAAAAGCTACATTGGGAAGGCAAGGGAAAAGTTTTTAATTTACATATTTGAGAAGATTAGAAAATAATTGATACTAAGGTATCAAAGCAATAGAGAGATGATGGATAAGGTTAAGGGACTGTTGTGTCCAAAAATTAAAAAGAAATTGGATAAAATTTCTGAAGATGTCAGAAGACTATGTGTGAGTTATGCAGGGAATGACAAGTATGAGGTGGAAAACATGACATGGAATGAAGCTGGGGTTAGTGATTATGTGAATCTTGCTACAAGAACTTGTTTATGTAAGTATTAGGATATAACTGGCATGCCTTGCAAACGTGCAGTGGTAGTAATTTTGGATAGGAGGTTTGATCCAGAACTATTTGTTCACCCTTCTTACTATAGAGAGACATACTTGAAGTCTTATAGATATGTCATAACTCCAGTGTCTTTAAAGAATCTGAAAAGAAAAGTTGGTATTGCTCCAATATTGCCACCACCCCCACCACCTCATAGGACTAGACGTGGAAGACCTAAAAAGATAAGGAAAAGAG